AAATTAGATGTATTCATTAATTTTTAATTTAAATTAAAGTATTTCATAATTTAAATCAACAATTAATACACTCTTATTTTATTATTGTGCCCATCTTCTCATTTATGTAAAAAAAAGTCCATCTAAATTATAATAAACAAATCATAATTTGCTCCAATCAAAAATATTTTTTCCACCTCTATTCATATCATTATTTAAGATCTAAAACCTTGTTTAAATCAAATTAACAATAATTTTGTCCAGTACGATTTATAAATAAAATTCAAATTATACACTCTCCTTAAGATTTTCAATATACAACAATAGTCTAAACATGCAATTAATAGACAACAGATCTGAACGAAAAGCTCTCCCTAACTTATTATTAGTGACAAGGAGATAATTAATTGTTTTGTGCAGAATTTATGTAGGCTACTATTGTTATTTCTGTGGAATATATGTAGCTGAAGTGACATTTAATTGTCAGTTAGTATCAGTTTCTTTCATCACTTCAATTTTCTTCCCTCTGATTCCTGTCCGGACTGCAGTTTACTGGATGCATCTAATTTGTACGTGTAAACTGTAAACTATTGTTTATAACAGATCAGAGACAAACACTCCAAAGATAATAATGAAAAATAATAATATATTCCACTTGAATATATATATATATATATATATATATATATATATATATAATCCTACTTGAGTATATAAAGTTATTCTATAGTTCATTTTCCTTTTCCTTGCCACTCACCGAAACCCTAGCTCAGAAATATCATTTCCATAAAAAATTACTAATTTAAACTTAAATATATATTGAAAGTTCTCCAGTAAATTAAATATCTTTCTTTGTCATTTTACCTTCATTGAACTGCAGACTGATCTCAAAAGCAAAGAAGAAGAAGAGAACACAACATATTGAAGAAGGAAAAAGAAAAAAGATAGCAACGTGCACCAAGGATTAGAATTTCAAGAAAGTAAACCTTATCATAATATTAATTCAAGGTTCACTTAAGCGGAGAGAGGGATCTCTCCATTTTTCTATCAACCTAAAACGGATTATAAAAATACAAAGAAAGAAAAAAGGCAAGAGGAAGGATTGCAAAGCAACACTGCGACTTAAATATAACTTCATACAACTTCTATTTGTACTATAAACTAACTACTTAACTTTCTGTTGTTTCCCTAACCTGAGCTCAAGATCCAAGTCTTCGATTCCATGGTTAACTCCAACTACAATTTCTGCAGGTTGGAAAGCCAAGCCTTTATCATTTGAACATGGCTTGAGGAAAACAGGCATAGAAGATATGGTAGTTTTTAATCTCTTGCAATTGATGTTGGTTCTGTCCCCACTATGAACATTTGGTGATGATTTTTGGCCAAACATGGAAGTCAGTCCCACAGACAAACTTGTTTCAACATAATTATTACAACCCAAGCCATTAAAATTGTGCTTCCTTTCTTTGACTACCCCTTTTGGTTCTGAGTTAGGAGACCTCATTTTCTGTCCAAATATAATTGAAAAAGAAGAAAAATAAGGTGAGAGATTATGCTGACTATAATTTTCTCTTGGGGATGTAGTTGAGACCCTAGAAGGTGAGAGTCTGGTTGTTGTAAGTGTAGTTGCAGGGCTAGAATAAGCACTAAGACAACAATCTATTTGGGTAGAGATCTCTGATGTAGAAAAATGATGATTGCCTACCAAGGACTTGAAATCATTTTTGTGATGATAATGATCAAGGGGTTCATCATTATGAGGGCTAAGGTTTTGTTTGAGCCTAGCCCTGTCCCTTCTATGGATATTCATGTGACCCCCCAGAGCTTGAGCAGACCTGAACTCTCTTTTGCAAAAGGTACAAGAGTATGATCTTGGAGGCCAAATGCTCCCACCAACCATCCTAGCTGCATCTTCAGCAAAAGCCCTTTCTTCCCAAGTGTTGTTTTCATTTTGTGCTTGAAGCTGTGACTTCAGGATTTGTTCTCTCTTCATATACATCCAGTACTGAGATCTCTCGATGATCACATGCAAACAAAATCTGATGAAGTTAAGGGTAGAAATTAAGAGTACTAAGAGGTATATAGATTCTACATGAAAGAAGCTATGAAAAGAGCAAGAGAGTGAAGTGAATATAAATGGTCAAGAGCGTGCATGTCCCTGTAAATATAATCGAAAGCAACTTAGGAATCTATGAGGGAAAAGATAATGACTAGCTGTAAATGTCTGGTTATAAGTTCTGAATCTCTTTGGCTTTTGTAGTGAAGCTACTGTTTGTATTTTTTTGCTTGGTTTGATACAAAGGGTAGAGGGGTCCCTTTTAAGAAACTGTCTTATATCAGATTTCGGTTCACACGAATGAAGGCGATAACGGTTATGATGGTAGGAAATACTGCTGAACTGGATCCTGATGAACGTTCCATCAACACTATACTATATGGTAATTGTGTTGACTTATGGCAATATGACTTGTATTTTCATTATTTTTTTTTCCCTTTTGAGGGGGGCGAGGAGTATATGCACTATATATACTATTTGCATTAAGTGTAGGCCATTTATAACACTGCAATATTACCATAACTTATCTGTTTTAGTACTTCTGTAATTTTTTTTCTATTCCAACCTCAACAATTGAAGTTTCTAAACTGTACAAAAGTGGATGTGACGAAGATCCATAGTCCATAAGCATGTTACAATTTGTAACCCAAATCGCTTACTCCTTTTATATTTGTGTGTGATCTTGATATAAAACGTTGTGTTTTTTTTTTTTTTTTGGTATAAATATACTTATTTCCGTTGTTAATATAAAAGAACTACATAGAACACCCTTACTAATCCAACAAGGAGCTTTGTAATTGAATTTCTCTCTCATAAGTACGAGGACGACACAAGACATCGATACAAGGATAAGGTAAAATTTAAAAATATAGGGCACAACATGATTGTAATATTTCATTTAAAATTAACATAAAATAAAAATTATAAATCAGAGGAAATAATTTGTATTTTAAAAATGAGAATCAGTCATTATAAATATAATGAAATGTTATAACCTATCTAATTATTATGATTTTCAATTTGTAGAAATTCAGAAGTGAAAAGAAAATTATAAAAATACAACTAAAAATATTTTAAATATCCGTACAGTATTTGTCAGGTACATATCCAACATGACTTATGATAGTATGATATAACATGACTGCTATGTAGATGTGTATATGCTTCTTAACTTCTCACCCTCCCCCCTGAACATGTAGGAATTTAAAATTAACTTCTTCCTTTTGGCTATTGTATTGTGTTAATTGTGATGCTCATTCCTCATTTGCAGAAGAACAGAGTGCGTAACTGCACTTCAAAGTGTTGAACTCATTCCTTTCTGTCTTACATGAACAAATGATATATATGAAAGATTATGCCGTAGCTAAGGGTCAACCTTGATTCGATGATTTCAAAAACAGACCCTTTTGCATGTGTCCCTCATAAACACTGACAGAATTTTCTAGGCATTTTTTTTTCATATATATCACGTTAAGGAGTGTGTTTATTCTCAATTTCATATATTTATTGTCATTCCAATTTTAAAAAATTATTTAGATATTCTAATTATTAATTATTAACAAAAGTTAAAAAATTAAATAAAAAAGACAGTAGACATTTCATATTGGGCAATAGACAATTTAAGATATGAACTCAAGACTTATAAGTCAAACTATGGATGGATTAAATCTCTCTCTCAAACGAATAAGAAAATATTGTGAAGATAGTTGTAGATACACAATTCCAACACCAAAGACAATAATAGAACAGAAATGAATTGTACATAGTATGATGTCAAAGTCATTGACTTGTAATGTAAATAATACTAATACTAATAGATTATACCGAAAATGTCTTTACCCTCAACTTGTGCAACGGCGGTTGAATATTATACCATACGCATCTACATCTTTAACTGTAGCTTTATCCCAAAACAAATAACAAATAGAGGATGGCCAAAGACATCACCATAAAATATTTAGCAAGTCCAAGCATCAAGCTAGTCAGATAGAGGGCGTAAATCAAAGTACTGTTAGTGAAGGGATAAAAAAATAACACGTATGTTCACATAACGTTTACTTGCATGAAGTGCTTATTAGCCATGGTTAAACTGGCAAGTGGAACAACTAGATTTAAGTCAAATTATGTCACTTATTAGCCGCCCATCTTCCGTAAGTTTAAAAACCCATTTTCCAATTGTAAAATATTGGCTTACATAGACTGGGCTATCGAACGAAATTTTATATATGTATTGGTGGGGTGCGCCAGGCCCCTGCTGTAGTGCAACGCATGGGCGACACTCGAGAAACCCAGTAGCAAGCTACTGTTGTGGCCTCTCCCCCTCAAAAAATTAATTTAATATCATGTGAGCCAATGGCCCACGTATCAGATATTAAACTGATAAGAACAGATACTACACTTGATCTTAGCCAAAAGGCCGAGAAAGGTATGCTTTGAACGGTATCTTCTATTTCCCTTTATATCTTTCTTGTCCTTGTACCCTTCATCCCCTGTCCGATGTGGGACTTTCATACAGCACCAAACAGTTGGAAGTCTGTTCACCCTCAAGCAATGGAGAACGGTAATGCTAATACAAAGAACTCTCGGTTCTTCCTTGGGGGCTCAAGGAAAAAATTTGAGTATACACTCAAAAATAAAATAAAAAAGTAATAATCAATTCGCATGCGTCCCCTGTTCACAGTTGAAATTATTATGGTACGATGCTTGGGTCATTGCTGCCATTTTCAAAACTATTTCAACAGCAATTCTGTTCCGGATGACGATACTGAGGGATCTGTGACTTTAATTCTATTGACATTATTGTTCAGTATCCACTGTTTACCGTTAAAGCATCCAATTCAAAAAACGGGTTTTTTCTAAAAGGAAAAGATGCTAATGTACAAATATAAGTATGACAGTCACATTCTGTCATTGCAATATGTCCAAGTCCAGCGAACTTTTTTTGTTACCGAGATATTCAGAAAGGTAAAAACCAAGTTGTGAATAAATCAAACCCATCGATATTAATCTCTCTCAAAAGCATCGCATTAATGGGATATGGTTGGTTTATCACACTTGGAGAGATGAATAGGCCGGCAATATAAGAACTCTGTTGTTTACATCATACCCAGTGAAATGCATCTTACAGTAAGACATAATTTGAGGTTCTGTACATCTATTTCAGGAAATTTATGGTTAACTGTCCCTGTGGCAGTCCCAAGGGTGGAAGGGAAAGCCCTAAGCACCCTAGTAGATGCGTAGAAATCTATCTCTACCTACAACATATTTTCATCGAAAAATACAAACTGAAAGGTGAACAAGAGAGTTAACCAACTTCCCGCGTCTTCAAACTGAAAATACTACCTGGTTAGCCTCCTGTAGTATTTTGCATCTATTAACTCCAAACAAAATTAGGGCGTGAACGTGACCCACGGTATTATAACTACGAGAACCCCCAGACAGCCTTGAATAAGAACTATCAAGGTCTGGGATCAAGGGTTCACGCACACAACAAAAATGGTTTAAGGCAGTCATAACAGTCGTTATAATTAACCAACAATGCCAGCATCTTCACGGTTTTCTGTTTCATTTGAAGGAGTGTAATTCACTTCATCAGGCATCAAATTTCCTACTGATGATTCTACCTGTTTATGCTGCAAATGGTCAAAATCCTGGTCAGGAAAGACCTCAGCCTGCAATGATGGAGCAATGTTATTCACGTGTAGCCATGTCAGTTCCCACAAACTATCACCACCTAAGGCACTCCTCTGCACCAGTATAACCTTTGTCTTCATAACAAGCAAGATGTTCTTAAGCAGCTCAGGCACTAACTCTTGAAGCTTCTCACTTCTTTTTCCCCTAACTTTCACCTTTGTATACTTTTCCATTCGACTCAGTACACCTAACCATAATTTGCAGAAGGTCGTCAATTGTGATAAGTCTTGGAGTAATTGAAGAAAAACTTTAGACATGAGCTTCATAGCCAAGATAAGTGTGCCTTCCATGTTTCGGTAGTCCTTTTGAGAGTGACCCTGCGCAATTTCAAAAAGGTCATCAAGCACAGTGAAGATCACCTGATCAAAACACTGTAACCACAAGCCATGAGGGAGATCAATCCCATCAGCTCCTGTCAAGCATCTCTGCAAAGATAACAAAGCATGATTTCTAACCTCCTCTCTCTGGTCCAAACATACTTTCCTTAATCCCTGCACAAGCCTCAACCACATCTCTCCAATATCCTGGAACAACCTAGACACTTGCTCCTGCTCTATTGCTTCCTTAGCTTCACTAGTCCATTGTACCAAGCAATTGACAGACCCTGCCATGAGATCTAGTGCCCGTACAGATCGCTCTGCCTGTCCAACCCGAGATTCAGCAAACTGCCTAGCAGTATCTACACAAAGAACATAATTAGCCGGCATCAAATGGGCTTCATCAGACATTATGAATAGTAGTGCATCAAATCCGGCCTCATATGCTTCAAGGTGTTTAGCTGTGATGGAAAGTAGCGATGTAATTGTCCGCCATCCTAGCTGAGATCTAATATGAGAAGCATTTGCCTTCAAAAGGCGACTGACTTCCAGTGTAATCTGCGCACAGTATGCATCAGCAACCCGGGCATCAAGCTTCAATACAAGTTGCAAAGATCGCAGAAGTTCATCAGCAATGTTCTCTTTGTAGGGAAGCAACCGCTGGCAAATCCTCAGGAGTCCAAAAACAGCCTTATCTACCAGAGCACAAGGCATCACAGTTGATTGAACAATATTGGATATATGCTCATATACACCCTGCCAAAGAAGCACGATTCTATCCCTGTTATTCAAAGTAATTGCAATCAGCAACTCCAGACAGAAAACTGCTGTATCTTCATCCTCAGGTGTGCTGTTCCCTTTCTGAGATCGACGTGCACCCCAAATGAGTGCTCTTGCAAGCTGCAACAAAGATTCAGCTTGCAGAAATTTACTCTCAGTGAATATGCTGTCAATGTGGCACTTCTGTATTGTTTGTAGGGTGCGCTGATGAGCAGCAAGTTGTTGTTCAGTAGGTTGTGATCTTGGCTCTTCCGTGTCAAGGGATAAGAGTTGACTAAACCTCCCCATCAATCCTGAGGATCTCCTTGGAGTACCAATAGGTGGCATATGAGCTGATGATAAAGCATTTCCAATAGGCTTTCCATGCCCAGTTTCAGCAGAAAGCTCTGACTCATCAGCTGCATCACTGGCCACACGAGCAGGAAGAAGACCTAGCTTGTGCAATCTTAAGATGCAATCAAGAATATTTCTCCAACCAGTGCGTATGTAATCACCATACCTATTTGCAATAGTGAAAACTGTAACAGTTGCCATTCTTGCTTTCATGTCATCTCCAAAGGCAAGGACTGGTTCTTCAACCGATGACGGGTTCAAAAGAGTAGTGAACTTACAGAGAGACACTACCAAATCATCAAGAACATCTTCAAGATGATGACATGCTGAAATCTTTGCAACAGCCAAGAATCCATCCATACATGTTTGGTATACCTCTTCATGTTCAGCATGGTCAAATACCACAGAGATGGCGGCAATTGTTGGGCCTGACATTATAGCAAACATATCATGATCAAGGTAGGCTTTGGAATCAGATACAATAAAGGGAGCAGTTTTTTTCAACTTGTGCATTAGATCAATCCAGCGACTTGGTGTCATTTCAGGAAATCCAACACCTTGCTCAGGAGTAGTGCGGATTTCATTCTTACAAATTGAATGATAAAGCTCTGACAGGAATTCTCGGGGTAGATCATTGCCACCATTTATGTGCCTATTATTCCGGATAAAATCCTCTTCTGTCATTTTCTTTTTGACCTGCACATTATGCTGATCTGTATTAAGCATTATAATTGAGTATGATAACACAAGAGCAGCATCCTTGTTGGCTAGGATATGTGGTGACTGCTCGTAATATCTCTCAGAGAAAGCTTCAAGCACCCTCTGTATCTTCTGCGATTCTCCAGGAAGTCTGAAAGTCTCCAAAAATAGACGCAAGGCAGTATCTAAATTCATGTCTTGGAAATCAAATGTTCCAGCAAATTCATGAAGAACCTGAACACAAAATTCATCATGATTTCCTAGGAAATCACCAACAAGATTCTTATCCAATCCAGCAGTGTATCTGAAAAAGCAAGCAACACTTTGGGGATCAAGTTTGTCTGGTAAAAGATGTGTTCCTTGGAGAAACTCTAGCCCTTTTTTAGGATCACGATTGAAGTGGTCAGCTCCAATCATCAATCTTCTCTTGATGTACTTTCTTCGGCGGACAAAAGGAACCCAGTGATTTGGATCACTGTAATTCTCACATTTAACCATCCAAAATGGAGTATACTCTTCAAGATTGACAGGAGAATGTTCTGAACTTAAAGATCCATTGCCTATCCTTTCAGCCATTCCCTGTATAACAGCAATTAGACCATCCAAAGCAAGAATATGCATGGCAGACAATGGACAGTTCACAGGAAATGCACTTTTTGACAACAAATTCGCAAGGTCTTCAAAGACATTACTGCAAGTGATGTCACAGTCAAAGTTAGCGTACATATCTACCATAAATGTTTTTTGTCTGCAGAAGTCAACAAGGGCTTCCATGGCCACCTCCTGCTGCTGATATGAAGCCCCATATCTGCTTTGGGCTAGTCTCAAAATCACACAAGAAAAAAATGCTTCTATCTGTAACTTGAGTTCTGTACGAAGATTATGATACAGGTTGAGAACAATGCTACACACCATTGAAAGTATAAGGGGGCTCATTGACAAACCAAATTGTATCAGATTACGAAACAATTCATCCTGAATTAAGCTTAGCAACCTTGGGTGACTGCAAATGGAAGGCCCTCCCAGTTCTATTGCTGAATTAATTAAAGTTAAGGCAAAGAGAGGTACATCTTCATCAAACGCAATTGTGTTTGATCTAGGACCCATTCCAATATGCTCAACAACATTCAGCAAAGAACACAAGAAATGAAATATTTCTACCATGCAGGGTACTCCATACGGTTCAGTCATGAGATGCATATCATATGGTACAGCCTCCTTGCCATTAATAGCAATAGCTGTGTTTTCGTCGACCACAGTTGTTGTCACAACACTTGCATTGGGAGAAAAGTTTGTTGATAATGGCTGATTGACATGTTCAGTACTCATGCTCCCATTCTCCAGTTGTCTATTTCCAAAAGCATACTCATTATTTAAGTCCCCAGTCTGCATGAATAATCAACAAAGACAACTGCTCATTTAGAGATGACCTTAGCTTCAAATTCAAAATTCAAGTGCTGAACCACCCTGCCCAGACAATTAATAGGTTCCCTTTAAAAATTTCCAGATTTGACCATTTAAATGCCATTATTCCACAGAGACAAGCTTTACCCATAGTGGGATTTTTATTATGGGTCAGTGAAGTCTATTTTACGATGTACCATCCAGTTATAATCAGTAATTCAGTACATCCAATCTATTAATGGTATATAATGTATGCTACACTCTCGAATCCATGGTGTACAATTCATGGCATAAAATCTAATGAAAATTGTAAATTTAAGTATGGCAATATTCTAACCAGATAATAGATAAGTCAATTTTTTTTTTACAGATGATTTAAAAATTGAAAACAGAGACAAAGAACTGATACCATAATAACACTAATTCATGCATGATATGAAAAGTACAACAACAACAACCAAGGTAAGCTACATGGATCACATGACGCTATTGAGTTTGGTCAAAAACCAAATTTTCAGAAATCTAATTAATCAAACGGTCTCTTTTAATATAGTCTAAAGTTCTTTGGGATCTCCCTCGACCTCTCTTTTCTATTATTTTTCATCCCTGCCAGATGAACCAAAAATCATGCAAAAGAGAATGTAATATTTGTAAGGTAACAAATATTGTATACCTCTTGTTTCAAAGTAGAGTTTCCATTTACCAACGCATGCTGTGTGTTGTCAATATCTTGAAGGTGTGAGAAAATACACCTAACAAGTTCGTGCATTGTGTATCGTGCTATCTGCTGCAACAACTCACCTTTGGTTCCAGCTTGATGAACTATCCGGAAACAAGTATTGACTATGGTGCAAACATGTTGATTACTCAGCATTATAGATGCTTTACTTTTCATACATGCCATAAGAACTTGAAGTATCTTCATTAGAACAACTTCTTCTGATGCAGGATCAGTCACCTCAAATCTGCAACTAGTGACAGCATCAACCACCAAATGCATGGCATCCTCAACATTAACAGTATTTTGATCAATCACATCCAATGTTAAGATCTTGTATATAGATGACAAGGCAACACCAGTAATTGGGGCACCAGTCTCATCTGACTGAATCACATCCAGAAACGGCTGAAGATACAAGGCAGGGTTAATAGTGTGCCAAGGATGCTGCCATGAAAAGACTTGCCTCCTTAGTGACTTCAAAGATTGAACCAGAGAGTGCTCAAGCTGATCATCTCCTGACATATAACGTCCTCCCCATCTTACATTTCTTCGCATGACTGCCAAAACAGCACCAATTTCTGAATTGATCATGCATGCTAGAGTTGTTTTGTTAGGATATGCAACATCACACTCCTCAGTTTCCTCCTCTATAGCATTGATACCAGCTTGAAGCTTTAGTCGTCCCATTTTCACACTATTCTTCGTACAGAAATGATCTGCTAGTGGTTTAACAACAAATTACAAGACAAACAAAAATCCTAGGAAAACACATACTTTGCAGTTCAAAGAGACAATAAATCAATGAGAAATTGAGAATAGGATTTCAACGTATTAAATAGCTTAAATGCAGCATGAAACACAAACATATGAAACACAACCTGAGAATCTTCCAAATTGATCAACACAGCACATAACATTAAGCACACATAATCAAGCACATAAATTGGCAGCACTATAAGTCTATAACTGGGTGAAACAATTCCAAATATTTAAAAACACTGGTAGATCCAAACAAGCTGATAAGTCTAACGGTCTAACCAAAGAAACACAACACCTTCTGTCTTCACTGCAGAAGCACAGCTCCACCTCCACCACACTTCTATCACCCTTAGTCCTCCTTACTGCGCCTACTCTCCCAAATAATGTAACCTAACCTGTTATATCAACTCATAATCAACAGAAACACTCTGAGCCCCTTTCACCAATTAACATCAAAGATCTTCACCACCACGCTTTCTCAAATTTAAAAATGCACAACGGAAAAGCACATTCACTTAAATTTTCACATTAAACAGGAGACCAAAATTCAACAATAGACACATTGAACTAATAATAAATATAACAATTATTAACAACCACAGCAGCACAGTACCACTTCAAATCACAACCAAACCTCTCCAAAACCTTAGATCTGATACTAAACAGAAATTCTTCATCCAATCAATTTCTCTGCAGGTTATTCAGCGTCTTAACTATATTTTTTTTTTCACTTTCATAACATGTTAGAGCTTGATCGCGGTGAATTGAACTGAATTTGAAAACAAAATTTAGTTCCAAACACTGTATCAGACGAGGTTTTGATTCCGAAGCACTCAAGTAGATAAACACGAAGAAAATTATAAATAAAAAAAAAAAGAGAAGAAAATGACGAAGACGAAGATACAGAAGCAGAAGAAGAAAAATGGCTTACGAAGATCCTGAACTGAGTTGAGGAATCGGAGTCTGAGAGGTTTACATTACTCGCAAATCTTGCACTTGTGCTTCTTTCCCTCCTTCCAACCTCTTCTCCTTCACAACTTTCGTCTCTGTTTTTCCCACTTTTTTCCTTCCTTTTTCTTTTTACTTGTTTATTTATTTTCTTTTAATAAAAACCCTCTCTTTCTATAAATTGTATTTTTTATTATTATTATTATTTCAATTTCCTTCAGTTAAATTCAACACCGGCTTCACGTAATTTCCTTCACTTTCTATATAATCGAATTTTTGAAGCTTTTCATTGCACTATTCGTGGTACAAAAAAATTAACTAGTAAGTTTATCACGTACGTTAAAAGAGTGGTTGAAAATTTTTGAACTAATTTTAAAGTAGTGGATCGAATGCAATGTCATGTTACATTTGAAAATATACATTCAAATTGCTACATTTTCTATCGTCAAATGAATCAGTATAAATATTTTTTTTAAGCAACTAGATTAATAAATTTTTTAATATCTACGTTAAGAACAAATCATTTGAAATTGGACAAAATCTTCCTGAGAGTGTTTGTTCAAATGGTGTCATATGATTTTATACCACATTCAATTTTTGTAACGTAGGGAACCGAAAGACGAGAGACTTTTTAAGAAGAGAAAAGGAAGGGGATATAGTTTTTTATTTGTACTTTATAGTTAAGGTAAGGAATATTTCCTCTTTAATTAATTAGTGAAATGCTATCAAAACAAAAATCGTGTACATCACTTATGAATGAGCCAGCATCTTATTTGAATGTATCTACCTTTTATTTTGTCAAATCCTTTATGTCAATGTATCTGTTCAGCTTCTTAGCTATTTCATAAGAAAGATTTCGTGTCATACAGCATTGGTATCTATGTCAAATTAAAACATCTTTTGTGTCATAAAGGATTGTTATCCATTTATATTAAATTAAATAAAATTTTCTTCTTTACATTTGAATAGAAATATTTAATTTAAGAATTATCAATAAAAAATGTTTTACCATGACTGATGCACCCCAAAGGATGAAATGTATAAAGTAGACGAATTGAATAACCACTAATGATTGGCGTATAATTGAAATTGGGGCGGTGAAATTATCAACTATAACTGGACTCAAACAATAGGATAAATTGATAAATCAATGAAAGGTATATCCTTGGACGTTCAAATATATATATTTATGATAATTTCAAAACTTGTGTTGTTTGCATCATACTGAGTAAATTACATCTCGCATCTAAGTGATGAGAAAATCGAGTTCTGTACAATTTAGTAAGAAAAACAATACTTCTTCCGAACAAATTTGCAGCTAACTGGCTCAGGCGTGGGCCCATAGAGAGAGGAGATGGTCTCTATAAGGACAAGACTACAAAGGGGCTCATTCTAAGGTTTCTCAAGCTATAAAATATCTTCAACCAAAAAACTTACCAGTATCAAGTGTCCCAATGGCAATGAAAATGTGAATGAGATGTGTCATATTCTGCATAATCAGTTAGGTGAACCCCAAACAACCTCAGTACAAAAGAAAACCAATGGACTGAGATCATGGGTTCACAGGGACACAACAAAACCAATTCAGGTAGCCAAAGGCTGCAACTATGATTAACCAATACCAGGACCAGCTTGACCCAGTGTTTCATTTGAAGGCACAGTAACATTTCCATCCTGTCCCAAACCTCCATCTTTTTCGGTCTGATCGTGCTGCAAAAGCTCTGAATCTTGCTCAGGGAACACCTCAGCCTGCAATGATGGAGCAATATTATTTATATGCAGCCATGTCAATTCCCATAAACTATTTCCATCTACACTACTGCTCCACACTAGTACACGGCCTGCTTTCATAACAAGCAAAATGTTCTTAAGAAGCTCAGGCACAAGCTCCTGAAGCTTCTCACTTCTCCTTCCCCTAACTTTCACCTTCATATATACTTCCAACCGACTTAGTACACCCAACCATAATTTGCTGAAGCCAGTCAACTGTGATAGGTCTTGGATTAATTGGAGGAAAACTTTACACAAGAGCTTCAGGGCAAGAATAAGTGTTCCCTCCATGTTCCGGTAGTCCTTCTGAGAGTGCGTCTGAGAAACTTCAATTAGGTCATCAAGCACGGGAAAGATCACCTGATCAAAACATTGTAACCACAAGCCATGTGGGAGATGAATCCCAACTGATCCTGTCAAGCAATTTTGCAAAGATACGAATGCACGGTTTCTAATCTCCTCTCTCTGGTCCAGACATAGTTTTTTCAGTCCCTGTACGAGCCTCAACCACATGTCCCCAATATCCTGCAACATCTTTGCCACTTCCTCTTCTTTTGTTGCTTGCTTAGCATCATTAGTCCACTTCAGTAAACAATTGATGGACCCTGACATAAGATCAAGTGCCACTACAGACCGTTCCACCTGTCCAACACGAGATTCAGCAAACTGCCTAGCAGCATCTACACAGAGAACATAATTAGCTGGAAGCAAGTGAGCTCCATCTGACATAATGAATAGCAATGCATCAAACCCAGCCTCAGATGCTTCCAGGTGTCTAGCAGTGATGGAAAGCAATGATGTAATCGTCCGCCATCCTAACTGAGATCTAATATGAGAAGCATTTGCCTTCACAAGGTGATTAACTTCCTGTGTAATCTGCTCATAATATGCATCAGCAACACGTGCATCAAGCTTCAAAACAAGTTGCAGAGACCTCAGAAGTTCATCAGCAATGTTCTCTTTGTAGGGAAGTAAACGATGGCAAATCCTTAGGAGTCCAAAAACAGCCTTCTCTACCAATGCACATGGCATGACAGTTGACTGAACAATATTGGATATATGCTCATAAACACACAGCCAAAGAAGTTCAATTCTATCCCTGTTATTCAGAGTGACTGCTACCAGTAACTCCAGGCAGAAAACCAAAGTATCTTCATCCTCAGATGCACTGCTCCCTTTCTTAGGTCGCACTCCTGCACTAGTGAGTGCTTTTGCAAGCTGCATTAGAGATTCAGCCTGCAAAAATTTACTTTCAGTGAATATGCTGTCAATGTGACACTTCTGAATTGTTTGAAGGGTACACTGCTGAGCAGCAAGTTGTTCTTCAGTAGGTACCAATCTTGGCTCTTCAGTGCCAAGATATAAGAGTTGACTAAACCTGCTCATCAGTCCTGAGGATCTCTTTGGAGGACTAACAGATGGAAGCTGAGATAAAGATAGAGAATTAGCATTACTCTTCCCCCCATGCTCAGTTTCTGTAGAAAGCTCTGATTCTTCAGCCGCATCACTGGCCATACGAGCAGGAAGAAGTCCTAACTTGTGAAATTTTAAGATGCAATCAAGAATGTTCCTCCACCCTGTACGAATGTAATCACCATACCTATTTGCAATAGTGAAAACTGTCTCAGTCGCCATTCTTGCTTTCATGTCATCCGCAAAGGCTAGGATTGACTCCTCAACAGATAACGGATCAAAAATGGTAACAAACTTACAAAGTGACACAACCAAGTCATCCAATATATTTTCAAGATGATAGTAAGCTGATATCTTTGCAACAGCCAAGAATCCATCCATGCAAGTTTGGTATACCTCTGCATTCTCAGCATTATCAAATACCACAGATATGGCAGCAATCGTTGGACCAGACAATATAGAAAACATATCATAATCAAGGTATGATCTGCAATCAGAAACAATAAATGGTGCAGACTTTTTTGATTTGTGCATGAGATAAATCCACCGACTTGCAGTCATTTCAGGAAAACCGGAACCTTGCTCAGGAGTTGTTCGGATCTCATTCTTACAAATTGAATGGTAAAGTTCTGACAGGAACTCTCGAGGTAGATCATTGCCACCATTTATTCGCCGATTATTTCGGATAAAATCCTCTTCTGTCATCTTCTTTTTGACCTGCATATTGTGCTGATCTGTATTAAGCATTATAATTGAGTACGATAACAACAGAGCAGCATCCTTATTGGCTAGGATATGTGGCGATTGTTCATAATATCTCTCAGAAAAAGCTTCAAGCACCCTCTGTATCTTCTGTGATTCTCCGGGCAGTCTGAAAGTCTCCAAAAATATACGCAGGGCAGTGTCTAATGTCATGTCTTTGAAATCAAATGTTCTAGCAAATTCATGAAGAACCTGAACACAAAATTCATCATGGTTTCCTAGGAAATCACCAATGAGATTCTTATCCAACCCAGCAGTGTATCTGAAAAAGAAAGCAACACTTTGGGGATCAAGTTTGTCAGGCAAAAGATGCGCTCCTTGAAGAAACTCAAGACCTTTCTTAATATCACGATTAAAATGATCAGCTCCAATCATCAATCTTTTCTTGAAGTACTTTCTCCGGCAAACGAAGGGAACCCAATTATTTGGATCACTGAAATTGTCACAATTTTCCAGCCAGAATGGAGTATACTCTCCAAGATTCACAGGAGATTGTTCTGAACTTAAAGATCCATTGCCTATCCTTTCAGCCATTCCTTGCATGACAGCAATAAGACCATCCAAAGCAAGAATATGCATGGAAGACAATGGACTGTTCACAGGAAATGCACTTTTGGACAACAAATTAGCAATGTCTTCAAAGACATTACTGCAAGTTATGTCACAATCAAAGTTAGCATACATCTCCACCATGAATGTTTTTTGCCTACAGAAGTCAACAAGGGCCTCCATGGCAACTTCCTGTTGCTGATATGAAGCCCCATATTTGCTTTGTGCAAGCCTCAAAATTACACAAGAAAAAAATGCTTCTAGCTGTAATTTGACTTCTGTACAAAGATGGTGATACAAATTTAGAACAATGCTACATACCATTGAAAGTACAAGCGGACTCATTGACAAACCAAATTGCATAAGATTGCGGAATAACTCATCCTGAATTAAGCTCAGCAATGTAGGGTGTCGGCAAAAGGAAGGCCCTCCCAACTCTATAGCTGAATTAATCAAAGTTAAGGCAAAGAGAGGGACATCTTCATCAAATGCTATTGTGTTTGATCGAGGACTCATTCCCATATGCTCAACAACATTCAACAAAGAACACAAAAAGTGAAATATTTCCACCATGCAGCGAATCCCATATGGTTCATTCATGAGCTGCAATTCATTCAGTTCAGTGTCCTTGCCACTGCTAGGAATAGCTGTGCCTTCATCCACTACAGTTGTTGTCACATTAGTCACAGTGCTGGAAGCAAAGCCTGTGGATAAGAGTTGACCATCACTTGCAGAATTCAAGCTCCCATTCTCCAACTGTCTG